AGGGACAATTTTTTGAGAAGAGATCATGGGGCACCTTGCTTGCATATGGGGGCCTAAAAAGTTGTTTCACTATGCTCAGTCATGCAGGCACTCAGAGACCTCAGCAGCTATGATCACAGGGAGCCCAGATATTGCACAACTCAGATATGGCAGCAAGCCTTAGTGTCATCTGTGTGGTGCTGGTTCTGCAGGACTTCAGGATGCTTGAGTTAAGGGGATGGAGGCTTCCACTGAGATTTCAAAGGAGGGTCTGGGAAGCCATGCAAAGTGCAGCAGGGTTGAAATCCTTGCCGGTTGCTCCTGAGAGGGTGATAAATGAAGCCATGAAGGTGAAGCCAAAGCTGGAATGGAGATCCCAAGAATTAAGAGATGCCAGTAATATGAATGGTCTACTGAGAAAATTTGTTGGTTGCAGAGAGAAACAGGTGAAAAGAGAGGACCTATGAGCTACAAATAGCAAGGCCAAAGAGTTGGGCCTGCCCAAGCCCTTTGGAGAGCACATTGCACAGTCATGTGTCATAGATATTGTACACAGAATTACAGGACCTATTTGCCTGTCTGGGTTTTGGTCTTGCTTTGGCATCACCTCTTCTTCCTATGCCTCTAATCCTTGAAATAGGAATGTTTACATTGTACCACTTTATATTGAATATATGTCATTTGCTTTTGATTTTTACGGGGGTTCACAGCTGAGTGTTTGCCTTGAGTCTCAGTAAAGACTTTGGACTTAGACTTTTGGGTAATGCTGAAGTTGTTAAAAATACAGAACTCTTAGGGATGGACTAAATGCATTTTGCTTTGTGAGATGGAGAAGAACTTTTGGGGGCCAGGGAAGGAATGTTATGGTTTGGATATGAGATATGTCAGCTCTTGTTATACAGAAATATTCAGAAATGAAATGATTAGGGTATGAGAGCTGTAACCTAATTAGTCCATCCTACTTTTAATGAACTGACGGGGTGACAACTGGAGGCAGGTGAGGTATAGTTGGAGGAGGTGGGTCACTAGGGTGTGGCCTGGAAGGGTGCATTTGCCCAGTGAACTGTTTCCCCTGCTCTATCTCTGCTTCCTGACCCCGCCATGAGCTGAGCAGCTTTCCTCCACTGGGCCCTTCCCCCATGATGTGCTGCCTCAACTTGGGCTCGGAGCAAGGGGGTTGTTCATTTTTCAGACTGAGACCTCTGAAACTCTGAGCCCCAAATAAACTTTTCCTTCTCCAGGTTGTTTTTTTATGGGATATTTTGTTCACAGAAACTAAAAATCTAACTAAAACAATGTACAACGTTGTAACAGAGTCAGTTCAGAAATGAATAGGAAGATCTACTAAGCCAAATAGTGAAGAAATTTGAAAAGATGTAAAACAGTGCCACTTTTTTCATTTTAAGTCTGGGTTTCTAAAAACAAAGTGACATTATATTAACATGTCAATATGTTAAAAATTTCTGTTTGGATTTCTAAAATATCAAATATTTGTAATCATAACTCACATAAATGAAAGCTCCTTGGGGTCTGCAGTAATTTTTAAAAATGTAAAGAGGTGCTGAGACCAAAAAGTTTGAAAATTGCTGACCTAGCAGAATTACTGATTGTGAACAACTGCTACTTTCACTTGTCTAGCAGAGTAGCATCAATTCCTTTCCTTTCTCACATCTGCACATTAATTTTCCTTTGAAAACTATTTGTCCCCTCTTCTTAGCCCATGAGATCTGCATTAGGTTAACTTAATCTTCTGACTCATTTGTTTGATTCAGTACTATATCCAACCATTCCTGAATGCAGACCAAACCCTACATTTTCAACTATATGAACTAACAAATTGTCACTTAAGTCTATAAGAATCCTGTCTTAGTATTCCAAGGTACAAGGAGATATAGCTTGAGTAATGTTAATCTAATCATCGTGTTGTTTATAGTTCAGTACTGACATATACTTTGAATCTTCAATTATGTTCTGGGTCCTGGCATCTCTTAATACCTATCATTTCACTAGGCTTCAGCTTAATCACTCTATTAGCTTGAAAATAAATTAATCAGTTGATATATTTATATGTGAACAAATATTAACGAATCTATGCTAAATAAGACAGGCATATACAATGAGTAAGACATATTTTAAAAGTAATTATAACAATACAGCCATCCCTTGCCTAAGATAGGCCCCTGGTCACTTTCTCCCTGGGAGGCTGTTACTCTAGGATCAGTTGTAATTATCATCTTTATCTATGATAAATAGATATCATCTTTATCTATGATAAATAAAGATACTTGGTCAAACATACCTAACATGAATCAGAAATTTGAAGGATCTTCTAGTAACCTGAAAATCAAGACTGAAAGGAATGAAAAAACATGTACAAAAAATGTATAAAACATTGCTACATTAAAACTATGAGCCTTCTCTGACTCTCCAGAATATGTTTAGACCCCACTGTCATTAGTTGTCATTGTACTTGCACTTTGCCTTTGAAGCAATCACCAGGGTCTTGCTAATTATCTGGTAATCATTTGTTCAGTATTTTTTCTCATCAGAGGTCAAGCCTCATATTCTATCTTGATGACCGAGTTCCCAGGTTTCAACTCAATGCTTGAACATAGTGGATTCTCACTAACATAACTATGGAGTGAATAAATGAATGCACAAGTGTCATGTAGGAGAAGTAAAGGGTGCTGGGGACCAAAAAACAAAGGGCACCACCCTGGGCTAGGAGAGCAGAGGAGGACTCCTGGAGAAGTCTCTCACTTGAATGAGAGAGGATGAGTGAGCAGGAGAGTCATTAGATGGGGGGATGGAGAGTAGACACCAACTGGGGGTAGCATTTGAAGCTGAGTCTTGATCCAGTTTAGGAAGTGCTATTTATGAATTTTTAATCTCAAGACTTTAGACTTTCTACAGGCAATACTTAGAAGCTATTATGAATATGGAAATGATACATATTTTTGCTTTTTAAAAGGAAGTCCTTATCAGTGTGTACAGAACTGTTCAGGGCAAGCAAGAGTAAAGGTAGCAGGATCAGTGAGGAGATGTGACTAATTCAGGGAGAAATGGTGTGACTTGAACATGGAGATAGGCAAAGGCTTTGAGGGTTCCTTCACTCATTTTTAATCCAACAAATATTTACTGTGTGCCTATAATATGAAGCAATATTCTAGGAAATGATGAATATTATAGAGGTGAATAATAAAAAGTCCTTGAACATTTGGGGTTGACACAATCATTGGGGAGTGGAATGTTGGCAAATGAATAAATAAAGCTGAGAAAGACATTACCTTGGAAGAAGCAGTCAGTAGATTGACAGTATAGTTTCTAACCCAGCCTCTAGAAGACAGAGTACAATGGGATGACCTCTTTTGAATAATAATAGAAAATAATTGCCAAGGAATAGGAATGACATATGAAGAACTCTTAGGGATGTAACATGTCCCCAAAATAAAGATACTTGGTCAAACATACCTGACATGAATCAGAAATTTGAAGGATTTTCTAGTAACCTGAAAATCAAGATTGACAGGAATGAAAAAAACATGTACAAAAAATGTATAAAACATTGTTACATTAAAACTTGTTAAAAATGGAAGAGTATCATTATGGATTTAGTTGTTATAACAGATTGAAAAAATATTTTATCTTAATAAAGACTTATAAGAAGAATAAAATACAGAATTGTTTTCCAAATAAGGAAGAAAAATAAGAGAAAGGAGGAGGAGAGGAGGAAATAAACCTACTTCCCAAAGCTAATAAATGAAAAGTAGAAAGAAGCCAAGATTGCATGGAATAGAAGATTGATGTTAATTATTTCTCTGCTGGAGTTAAAATATTTTTTCCACTTTCCCTATCAAACACACATACACATTAATGTTCGAGGCATTTAGATAAACATACACATAATCATTTCATTTGTATGGACACTTTTTTAAAAAATACAACTCAGTCACTATTTTATTTAAAAAAATTTTAATTGTTAATGGACTTTTATTTTATTTATATGCGGTGCTGAGAGTCTAACCCAGTGCCTTACACATGCCAGGCAAACGTCCTAACACTGAGCTACAACCCCAGGCCTCAGTCACTCTTCTTTAACAAACACTGAGCTCTAAATATTCAATTTAGAAGAATTGTTTTAATAATTCAATGATGTGTTATTTGTGATAAATGTTGCAAATAAAAAGTTCTCATTAGAGAACTAGGCAGAAAAAAAGATGCAAAACAAGTATCATTTAAAAAGTGGAAATATTCTAAGTTTTATGTGTTTAAATTGTCCAGCACCTCCCTCCTTCCCTTTGACGATGTATCAGAACAATTGTGAGCTATGCTATATTTTCATTTTTTTCACCAAGCGGATCAACTTTTCTTTAACAACGAAACTAACATTTAACCCTATTACCAGATTTCTGTAACACTTCTCCCTGTTGCTTGGCCCTCCTGGATTGCCTGCTTCTGGCTGTGCACGGCACCCCTATATTCTATTCTTTGGTTTTCTTTCTGTGTTGGTGTTTATAGGCTCGCTGCTACCGCATTCACACAACCTGCCTCTCTCAAAGTTACTTTGAAGATACAGAAACAGTGTTTTGGGAAGGGAATTCTGGAATCTTCTAAGTCTTCCCCAAACTGGGAATCTATGTAGCTATATTTGGAACCATGTTAGACGCTAAATAGTTAAGATCCTTGAGGATGTTCCTTGCTGAATTTTTGGGAAGGATCCAAAAAGGGTCTTGGGAGATAATCAAATTAACCTTTTAAATCCTATACAGGAAACCAAGGCCCAGAGAACTGCTCTGAGAAATATCCATGATGTGCCCCTCCTCCTTTACCCAAAGGACTCCTCTACATCTTCCCCAGATCATATTTTGGATCTCCAGAAGGGCAGCTGAGGATGGACAAGGGAACCTGGAACCACTCATAGCCTCTTCTGTGGGCCCAGATGGGGAGGAGGCCTTCTAGTAAGAGAGTGAGGAAGAGAGGGAGGGCAAGAGGAAGGAAGGGGAGCCAGAGGTGGGAGTGGAAGAGGCAGCCTCGCCAGGGCTGATTGGCTCCGGAGGCCAGCCCTCTCCATGCGGTTTATAAGAGTTGGGGCTGCCCAGGGCGCCCTGCCGGTTCTCCGCGATCCAGGAGCCACCACCGGGCTCCCAGAGTGCGCTCCACGTTGAGGTCCCGCTTGGCCCCGAGCCTGCTTCGAGGCTGCCTTTGGAGTTGGCGGTGGGCAGAAGAGAAAGGGAGGGAGCGGTAGAGGGAGGACAGCGCCCGAGAAAGCGGGCCGAGCGCCATGCGCCGTGCCAGCCGAGACTACACCAAGTACCTGCGCGGCTCCGAGGAGATGGGCAGCGGCGGCTCCGGCGCCCCGCACGAGGGCCCACTGCACGCCCCGTCGCCGCCCGCACCCGCTGCGTCGCACTCGCCTCCTGCGGCCTCACGCTCCATGTTCGTGGCTCTCTTGGGGCTGGGATTGGGCCAGGTGGTCTGCAGCGTCGCTCTGTTCCTTTACTTTAGAGCTCAGGTGAGTGACGCCTTCCCCAGGTGCGCGTGGTCGGCGCCGTCACCTTTTCCGTCTAGCAGTGGAGGGAAACTGAGTCCGACCACCGGCTCGGCTCCCCTGATCTTGCCACTTCAGGAGGGGAAAGTGACTCCAAGAGAGGGAGGGTCGGGCTAAAGACCGCGGGCGCACCTGCCCCATTCACCTTATCCACACCCGTGTCCTGCAGCGTGCAGAGGCTGCACGTGTCGGGCCAGATGTTGGATTTGAATCCCCCCCGGAAATAGCATGGGCCGCTCACCTCTCCTGGAAGTCATTGCACACTTTCTCTCCCTTCCATTTCTCACTTGGAGTTAAGGATTAACTTAAGTCCACTTAAGGGGGGAAAATGAGCGCCTTCAGATGGGCATTGACCTTTTCGCTTCCCGCCCACCACCCAGTTCCTGGGATTGGTTGCTTTGCAGGTATCCTCCTGGCCCCAGTGCTGGAGGGCCGCGAGGTGCCCTCAGCCTTTGAAGTCCTGGGGGCGAAGCCCAGGGCATGAGCTGTGAGAATGACAGCGCTGCTGGAGTCGCCTAGACAGGAGCTGTGCTGCTGCCTCGCTGTCCTGTGGGGCTCAGCTCTAAGGGGTGAAGGAAGAGGGACAGCCCCACGAGCCTGACAGTGAGGTGGGCGGAGGAAGGAAGCAAGGTATGTGTGCTGGCACAGCCTCGCTTCAATCTAGCCAGTAACCAACCTTCGAAAAGATGAAGAGGCTGTGCAGGAGGGCTTAAAACTGCAGGGAGATAGTAGAAAGGAAGGGGTAAATTTGTAATATTATGCTTTCTGGTGGTTTATGCTCTTGTGTTTTCTTGGAAATTGCAGTGCCGTTGGTTGGATTCATTCAAATATTCTTGTCTAGTGCTGTGAACTCTTTCTCAGAGGAAGTGGAGGGCTGACTGTGCATTTTTTTTTTTTTTATGGGAAAAGAAAGTTGGGTTTGGACTTCATTGGTTTTCAGACTCAAAGGTGATTACTAAACCAAATTGAACGCATCAAAACACTGCATTGCTTGGATTGCATGGGTTTTTGACATGTGCCAGCATCTTGAACTCCCACTTTCATTCACAGGTTTTCTGATAAGCATTCATTATTCATTAGTATGCATTTTATAGCACTAGTGTAATTATGTACGAAAACAAAAATAGAAATGCTATGAGCAATCCTTCAGAAAATTTGTAATTTCATGTTAACAAACATAATTTTTCCCTGGTGAGATTTTTTTCTAAAACACAATTTTTGGAGTGGTTTGCTTGTGACATGGATTACACAAATTCATATGAAAATGACAACTTTTTAAACTTCATTGGAATGCTTTGCAGTCAAGTATGAATGGTTTGGGAACTGGGGTTGTGGCTCAGTGGTAGAGTGCTTGACTAGCACATTGAAGCATTGGGTTCTATTCTCAGCACCACATAAAAATAAATAAATAAAATAAAGGTAAAAACAAATGAATGGTTTATCCATTTTTCCCATCCTGCATTTTGTTAACAACCTTCATTTAATGCTTGTGTATTGAGAGTCTAAATTGTGCTATGAATGTGACTTCAGAATCAATTATTTCAATACACAATGTCTATTTACTATATGCATGGTGCCATATACCAGAGGATATCTCCAATAATGATGCTACCCTTCTCTTATCTTTTTTACCACCTTAGGGACATGGCATTTCCCCAGCTGAAATAGTGAAGCAAGTGTTCAACATAGAGCAGTGGGCAATGGAGGAATTCTAGGGACCATGATGGAAATTGGCTTGGCTCTGTAGAAAAGAGTGACCAGCTGACTTTTTGTTCCAGTTGTTCAGCTTTCACAAAGGAATTCCAGTAATGGAGTGGGCTGAGAGATCTGTCCTGATGGTCACCTATCATCATCTGGATAGCACAGGAATAACAGCAAAACATTCAAAACCTTTCCCCAAAGCACAATTGTGAGTTAGTAAGCTTAGCTCTAAGTTTTTCTTTAGGAGACTTTAATGTCATCAGATTTCTGAGTACAATTTCCCTAACTGCCGCGAAGATTGGGGTTCTCTAAGACTTATGAAAACATTTTAGTTATTATTCTGCACCCAATTCTGCACTACATTTTTAAAAGGTCATCTCCTTTAGTAAAGAACTGGTATTAGAAGTAAAGTGTTCATATGAATATACCACCAGCTCTGATAGCATTTTATTGAGTTTAGTATCTACATTTGATTCCTAAAGAAATCCTAATCATTTAGGAAAAGGTTCTGAAATAGTTACAAATGAAATGCTTGGTGTCTGGAATTTATTTCAAAATAATTGATGGTGGGGGAAGGTAGCAAAGTGATTGCTTGTAAATGAAATAAGATTGGCCATGTGTTGTAATTGTAGTAGCTGGGTTATGGGTAAATAGGGGTTGAATCTACAGTTTTTTTCACCTTTATTTATTTTGAAGGTCTTCTTTCATAGTTCTGGCTAAGAAACAAAATGTTGTCACTGACAACGTTTTTGCTTTTATCGGGTCCTTTGAATCAGAACTTGGTGCCAAATGACAGAAGTTTTTTGAAAGCTGTGGACCAAGTACTTGGGATTTCTGAATTCATCTGAAGAAAATGACATCATCTAGTATCAGAGAATATGTTTATAACTTCAGTTAAAAATGATAAAGGAATCCAATTTTATTGTTTTAGTATAAAGGTAGGGGAAAGAAGTTATGCAAACTCTTAGGAAACAAACAAGTTTTTTTTTTTTTTAAGCTTTAGATGCATTTAGAAGGATGCTCAGAGAAGTATAAAAATTAGCAACTTCGAAAATTTTTTTCCCATTCTCAGTTCATGTTTCAATAGTTAACAATGAATTAGTCCCTCTGACTGCTTTATATTGCTTATGCCTAGTTTATCTTGTTTTAAATATATGTACTAGATCCAATGTAGATTGGCTTTTCCCCTACCAACCCTGCCAAAGAGAAAATAGCATGTGGTTTGTGCTATATATTTAACACATAGTATTCATACTTTGGTTTACAAAGAAAAAAATCTTCTAAAATGTTGCTTGTAATATTTGTGCATTTTTTAAAACATGCATATAACGAATTCAAAGTTTAGAGTTTAGCTGTAAGATAAGTTTTTCAGAAAACTCAAGCTCCTTGGCCCTTTTAACTCCTCCCCTCAACTTCTCAAAATGCGCATACCAACCTCTTTGGCTGCTTTTTACCCAGGACAAACCTCCCCGCTGAAAATCTGATGTGGAGATGTGCTAGCTGCCTGTTTGGGAAAAAAAAAAAAAAGATAACGAAGTAGCACAAATGTCAAGCATCCTGCCTCATTGAACCCAACAAATGATTAAGTTTCAAAGAAGTTTATATTTTAAAAAGTTTGTTTCACAGGTACCACTTCATCTGATAAGTGCATTTTAAAACACCTTTTTAAAATCAGATATTCAAGATTTAGTGTTTTCAGACACGCCTAGGTACAGTGACTTCATTTGTAACTCAGTTTGCTCAGATCTTTTGTGGAATTGTTGTGTTCTTCAGTTGAGTGTAATTTCCATGAAGGTAGAGACTGCCTGTTTTGCTCACTTTTTTTTTTTTTTTTTTTTTTTTTGCGGTACCTAGTATAGTACCTGGCATATTTAATTTACTCAAGATGCTATCAGTGATTTGCACCACATTTGTTCATTTCTAATTTATAATGTGCATATAATCTAGTTACTAGCTAAAATAATACAAGTTTTCAGTCATTCCAATCCTCTATCTAGATTGTTGTGTGCCAAGTGTTAGGTGTTAGGTAGGAGATACCTTCATTTAGTCGTTCAATGAGTGCTTGCTGTGTCTCTGTCATTAATCCTGCTCCCTGCTTTGCATTTCCTTCACATAGAAGTTGACCTGTGTATGTGCTTGGCCTCATATGCCCCAAACCTCTGTTCACCTCTTTCCCCCTGTACATTGGAAGGAGAAAGACATTTAGTTGTAGGTTAAAAATGATTTCTAACAAGTGATCCTTAAATAAACAAAATAAATGAGTATATCAAAATTAATTATGACATGCAATTAAGATTTCTTTGGGGAAAAACAATTGAGATTTTAAACATACTTGAGTTGCAAACAGTGGATCTGAACTACATTTTCCAAGTACTTGGGGAAAAGATTCAACAACTGGACTCTATTTTTAGAGATCTTGATGAAATTGGCCCAGGGTTGGGAGTAAGATCTGGGCTCGGGCATTTTTTTAAGAGATAAAGGAGAAGATCTTTGCATTCTATTTATTTGTATCAAATCATCAAACCATTATTCATGAGTCAGTATTTTCATACTAATTAGTGATACTGATTTTAAAACTAGTGTCCAGAGAAATTTGATGTCATTTTAAGAGCAGAAATCTATATGTTTGTGTACTTGACATTTTAAGACATCATTTCTCTAATTTTAATATAGGTAGTGTGCCCGAGTGGAGTCTAAGATTCTGAATTTCTGACAAGCTTCTGGTGATCCCATGTTTCTGGGGCTGCTTGGACTCCACTGAGAGAGTACTGAGAATGCAGAGGACCACTGCTCCTGTTACACAGCTTAGTTTGTCATTAAGACTCAAGCTTAACCAATCGTAGGGTTCCCAGGCATTGCTCTATGAATGACACATTGTTCCTTCAGCTCCACACTTTTCTGGTGCTAAGCCAATTGAGGTCTTCGCATGATTCTGCTTTCTTTTCTGAGGTCTGAACTTGGTGACCCTTCATATTGGTTGCCCAAGCTTTCTTGATTTTGTAGGATACTTTTAGGCATAAGTGAGCAGTTTTAGTCAGCTTGTGTATGTGTGTGTGTGTGTGTGTGTGTGGCTGTGACCAAAAGACCTGACAATAACAACTTTAGAGGAAGAAAAGTTTATTTGGGGCTCACAGATTCAGAGGTCTCAGTCCATAGATGGCCAACTCTGTTGCTCTGTTCTGGAGGGGAGGCATAACATCATGGCAGGAGGGCATGTCAGAGGGAAAAAGCTCAGCACATGACAATCAGGAAGCAGAGAGAGATTCTGCTCAACTAGAACACAATCTACACCCCAAAATCATGCCCTCAGGGACCAATCTCCTTCAGCCACCTAGTTAATCTATTCACATGAATTAATGCACTGATTAGGTTAAAGCTCTCATAACCCAATTATTTCACCTCTGAAAGGTCTTGTATTATCTCACACAAGAGCTTTTGGGGAACACCTCATATCTAAACCATAACATGAGCCTTAAAAAGAAAAAAATGATGTGATTGGGAGCTGTTCTTCTATAAACACTCACACATTCTGATTCACATTAATTATTCTAAAGAAAATAGGAGAAATAAACATAGTTTGCAAATAGTTTTGCTTTATGGTGGTACTTCTTGATTATAGATCATCCTTGTATTTGCAAGACTGGAATAATAAAATTTGCCTTCGTGAGTGCATACTTTTAAAAGGCTGTCATTTCATTTTGGGGAATTTCAGATATAGATGGAATACTTTACAGTTTATTTCTGATGGTTGGTTAATAAACCTGTACATATTTTCATATATTTTTTAAAAACTAATTAAATCAGAGAAAGAGTGACCCCCCCCCCCTTTTTTTTTTGGTACTGGAGATTGAACCCAGGGGCACTCAACCACTGGGCCACATCCCCAGCCATATTTTTTGTGTTTTCTTTAGAGACAGGGTCTCATTGAGTTGCTTAGCACCTTGCCATTGCTGAGACTGGCTTTGAACTTGGGATCCTTCCACCTCAGCCTCCCAAGTCACTGGGATTACAAGCATGCGCCACAGCACCTGACTGAAAGAGTGACTTAGTATTAATTCTGACTGAGCTTTGGTTAATGTAAACTTATGCAGTTCTTCCTTTTTTTTTTCAATTTTTTGGGGTCTAGTTTGTATCTACTAATAAGCAAATGCACATAAAGTACCTTGAATTTTTTAAAAGAAAGGACAAGTGAAACTATTATTATTAAAATATCTATGGCTGATTATCAGTTTTCTTTATTTAGCAGTTGAAACCACTGCAAAAGTTTGCCTGAGCCCTTGCCAGAAAACACTGGAAGCTTGCCTGTCAGGAGCTGACAGGCAATGTATAGCAGTGCTTAAAGTAGTGCTGGTGCTAGATACCTGTTTTAACCAAATGATCAACTAATAAACCCAGAGAATAATGTAGGTGGTACAATCCCTTACATTACACAAATTTTAGCATTCCCTAGTATACACCTTGTTCCAAGGTGATGCTTATACAGCTCTCCCCACGCTAATGTGACACCAAATATATCCCACATATATTTCCAAACACCCTCTGATAGATGTACTACTCCAATTTGAGAAATACCGAAGAGAGTTTCAACTAAAAGAAGAATTATACTTACAGCTTCAGGTTTGGTTTAGAGTTATGAAATAGATTTCTCTCTCCCTTTGGATGATTAAAATATTCATTGATTAAGGCAAAAGACCAGGCAGGTATGGGGATTAGAGATGGTGTTAATTTCTCCTGATTTATGTATGCTTCAAAATCCCATCTAGCCTGCTGCATATGTCTTAGAGACAAAACCTTTTTCTACCTCTACTGGTCACAGGTGATTTCCTTGATGCCCTCCCTCTGAGGACTTTCAGGTTATTAGTCTTGAGAAGCTCCCTGTGAATCACACATTTCTGATTATGAAAATCTACCACCCAACTTCACTTTGGTTGTGGATGATAGTTAGCTACTCATCAAAATGAATTAGAAGTCAATGTTTTCATCAACTGAAGGGTAATTATATTAACTGTTAATCATTGGGGACATAAAAACTCTTGCAAGAATGAACTTTTTTGTTCTCAAGTCACACTTTATTAAACAGCAGAATAATTAACAGTAACCCCTCCTAATGTCCTTACTTTCTCCCTGCTCAGATGGATCCGAATAGACTATCTGAAGATGGCACTCACTGCATTTATAGAATTTTGAGACTCCATGAAAATGCAGACTTGCAAGACACAACTTTGGAGAATGAAGACACAAAATTAATACCTGATTCGTGTAGGAGAATTAAACAGGCCTTTCAAGGAGCCGTGCAAAAGGTAAGTCCACACTGAGGTTAATAAGTTAAGGGCCCTTGCTGATTCTACAATTAGCAAATATTAAAACTTGCCAAGTGCTATTGACTCTGTTCTTTTTATTTTAGTGATTTGTAAAAGAGTTAAAGAGAATGTTTTAAAGAGATTAGCAGAATTCTTTCAAAGTAGTAGTGGTTAATTATGGCATACAGAGACATTCATGCAAAATTCTTTTCTTTCCCTTCTATTTAAGAGGAGGGATTTAAATTTGTACTTGGAAAGAGCACAAAGGTGCCCTGTGGTTGCTAGTTTGAATTCCTGAAGATAGAAACCATTCCCTAGATTCACAGGATTTCCTGGTAGCTATTTCCTTTACATTAGTTTTGAAATGGTAGGATCCCCTCTTCTACATCTGAGATCAGGGGCTCTGATGAAAAGCAAAGTAACTGGGCCTTTGTTGTCATGCATGTGAAGAGATAAGCATGCAGAGCAGAATTCTAAAATAGCTGCCTGTTTTATTTCCTAGAAAAAAACCACCTAAGAATTCTGTAGCTCAGAATTATTTTACCTACTGGATCCACCAAAAACTGGGTAGAACCCAAATAGTGACTTCTATGCGAAACAAAACAACAACAATAACAACAAAAGAATGTGCATTGCTTTTCCGCACCACATCTGCATCCATCTATACATCCCAACTTCTATTTTGCAACTGCCTGGATTATTTCTTATCATCTCAGAGTAAATTCTGGAGTCCTCAAAACCATTAAATCTAAATATAATTTTAGTTTATTTTTTAAAAATCCATATAGAGGAATAGCATACTTTTATGAGTGTATCTATCAATCAGAGTAAAGGTAGGGAGATGAAGCTGTTTTTGGTAAAACTAACTAACAGAGGTAAATGTCTGTAACCCACGTAGAGTTTAGGTTTGCTTTGGATTTTATCAAATTTAAGATACCACCTACTTTCAGCTTCTTTATTTCATGCTATCTAAGAAAGAAAAGATATTGATTAAAAAATTGAACACGATCATCATAGATTCTAGTTGCATCTTAATTTCAGGAATATTATACTGTAAAAAATGTGTATCTTAGAATAACATACATATTCTGATATGTATAAAAAGCACGTTGCTTATGAAAATTAGTTTTTCATTATAATTAGTAAGTGCTTAACTTTATGCAATAGATGTATAAAATGTGGTTTAATTTCATTGTTCTTTTTGTCTTATGTTATAATTTTTGAGCTACAGCAATAGCAATTCTGCTAATCTATTCATTTTCATTGTTATGTTTCATGTCATTAGTTTATTTTTTACTCTGTCTGTGAAGCTTCTCTCTCAAATACTGGGTGATCAGTCTACAAACAGCTATATACATGTACTAGGAATAATCTCTCTCTTTTTATCCGGGGGGAGTACTGAGGATTGACCTCAGGGGCACTCAATCACTGAGCCACATCCTCAGCCCTATTTTGTATTATATTTAGAGAATGGTCTCAACTGAGTTGCTTAGTGCCTCTCAGTTGCTGAGGCTGGCTCTGAACTAGAGATCCTCCTGTCTCAGTCTCGAGCCACTGGGATTACAGGCATGGGCCACCACGCCCGGCAGGAATAATCTTTAATTGAAAGCTGAATCCCTTATTCAAATGATTTCAGTTAGGTAAATTATTGTGTCTTAATTTTCTGTTTATATCAACCCATATTTTATCTCCTTAAAACAAAGAGATAAACTTTTAATTTCCTTGATGCTCTTGTTCCTAATAAAGTATCTTTTTAGTTTATTATGGAAGAAATAGTATTCAAGACCAGCCAACATAATTTTGGAAATAAATAATATTAAGAGTAGATACCTGAACATTTACTATAAGAATCCAAGAATGTATCTTAACAATAGGTCAAAGAAGAAAAACATGTTATTTCCTAGAGCCTGAGATGTGACTGAAAACATTTTGCAACTATTCCATTAGAAAATACAGTTAGATGGATTCTTGATGTTTCAGAAATATCTCAAACTGCAAGTTAGCTAAGGATGAAAGTTAGGAGTATTTCTCTTAAAGCGAGGAACACAAGAAGAGGCCCACTGTCCCCACAATATTTAACGTTGTTTCTGGAGGTGCTAGGAAATGCAATTATAACAAACAGTAAAATAAGAAAATAGAAGAGAGGAGAAGGCATAATTTGCATGTGGCATGATTATGTACTTAGGAAAATTCAAATGTAACTGAAAGGCTACAGGCAAAACAAAACAAATCTGTTTATAAGAATGAATAAGTAATAATCACTCATTGTCCCATTTTCCAACAATAATTACAAAATATGAATTAACAATTCCATATGTAATTTGTAAAATAAATGCCCTAAAAATAAATGTAATAAGAAACGTACAAGGCCTATATAAATAAAACTAGAAAACTCTACAGAGACATTTAAAATAGAATTAGATAATATACAGACATAACTATGTATAGGCATAGTAATTGTTGCAGTATAACTTGGGTAAAGGATAGCAGACAAATTCATAGAAAAGAACAAACACCTTCGAGTAGATCTTATTGTGTATCTGTATATGTGGGTGTTGGTGTGTATATAATTTAGTATATAATTTGTATTCCATAAGTGGACATAGTTTAGATATTAAAAAGTGGGATTGGAACAATTTGTTTACTTTTAAAAAAAATGTTAGCCTTTCATCATGTCCTAAGGGAAAGCAAATGCAGACCATCTTATGGCTCTCTAACATTCTCTGTTGTTTATGGAATTTTCTTCCACTACCTGCCCCATCAGGACTTATCAATTTCCTTCAAGATTTCTGAGTGACTGCTTAGATAGTATAAAAAGCCATCTTGTACTTAAAGGTGTTGATAAGCAAAAAATGGCAGAATTTTTACTATTTTGGGAAGCTTTTGGAGATATGTTTCAGTATTCCAAATGAGTAACATTAATTATGAGCAATTCAGCGCCCGGAAAACCAGAAGGACAAAGATTTTGGGGCAGGCAAAATTAATCAACTTCTTTTGTTATTGTTTTAATTCTAGTCATAGGTTATTAAGACTAACAAGATGAGTAGAACTTTATTTCATTTATTTCGCATTTGTTTTTGTTGCGCCATCGGATTTTAACTTTTTCACATAGATAATAATATACACAGTAATCCTTTTAAAAATGGCTATAATATACTAATGCATATTGGTGTAATGTGCAAATTATAACAAACCAATGTGTACTGGATATAAGATACCATTTCTTTTCCCTAGACCAGGGAGGAGATGAGTGCTATCCATATCTTATCATTAAAATCAACCAGCATCTGTCAAGTATACGTGCTGTTCCAGGCACAATGCCACATCTTTTCTTTTATATATCCAAGGTTTTACTTTTCTCTTATCCTAGCCTAATTAATTATATGTCAAATGAATTATCCTTTGATGAGGATTATTGGTTAATATGATATTCTGTACAACTTGCCAATATAATCAGATTTCTTATTTTTCTTGACACTGCTAAAAATAGGATGATGTATTAGGCATTTATTAGTAGTTTGTAATTTTTACTCTTAGTTCTAATGTAGATATCAAGTGAATCCATAAAGCAAAATTACATGTGTGGCTGCAGTCATTATTGAGAGATCAACCAACCCTTCCAGTGGTAACAAATACCAGACATAAGCACAATATCACATTATATGTGTGCAAAAAGTGGTGTTTACCCAGCCTGTCTTTGGTCAGACAAGTAATGCAGTTTTTTTCCTCTTTTTTTGTTTGTGGCTGAGTTTTCTTGGCTTTTCCCCCCCATTTAGCACAGAGCTCTGAGAGCCTCTCAGTGATCCAATTCTACCAACCACAGTTTATAAAGTCTGTCATAACAGTCTATGACAATAAAGAAAACACTGGTATAAATAATGGTGTCTGATTTGTAAAGTGATTCTTGTTTTCAGTTTTGGCAGCTTCCTTGGCCTCTGCTAGCCACGGTGGGGGTGGGGAGAATGGTGAGCTCAGGCCTTAATGAGGACTGCCCTGCATGGCAAGGAGGGCACTTGGCCCTCCTACCTCCTGGCCAGTCTCAGTGGAGAGCCATCTGTTTATGTGCTAACTATACATTCTGTGCCCTTGGGTGAGGCCCTGACTCTGCCTGACTTTAGTGTGCCAGGTTGTTGATTGCACATTGGCTTGTTTCTGAAAAACTCTCTGAAACTTACTTGCAAAAATATTTGAAAGAATGATGTGTAGAAGATCAATATACAGATGACACAAATCACCTTGCTCTCCAAAGTGAGATGTCCAATGAATTCAAGATTATCTCCTAAGAGGTAGAGAGGAAGCATGAGCACTTATCAGTATATTTATTATTTGGTATTAGCTTTTAAAAGATGGGTGTTATTAGCTTTTAAAAGATGGTGAATATTTTGTGACGTGCATAATATCCAGGAGTGTTTTTATTTAATATTTTAAGTAAATATCTATGTATATTTGGGAGCATTAAAATATTTTCCCCGGTTAGAGCTAAATCATTAGAAATGTTTGGTGACTATGGAACGAAACTTCAAGATCCATCAGGACACGGCTGTAGTCAGTTTGCACACATTTGGATACATTGTCCCTAATGTATTTTCAGGAATGAACTTAAATAAGAACAAGTAAGTGATGGATGACTTATTGAACTTCAGAAAGGAATAGTTTTGAATGAATGAGGACTTCTACCAACTCATCAACTCATAAAGCCATTCAAGAATGTTATAAACCTGGTTCTTACCTGATGCTTCATCAGAGCTAAAACTGATAATTATGAATATCATAGGCCAAGGTAGTAATGCTTCATATAGTCATAAAACAGGTTAATTTATGTTAGATGCTGTATCCAGCTGGACTTGTCATTTGAGCCACATTCTTCTCAGGTCTGCTCACCTCTCCTTGGCCTGCTCACAATGTAGAGGCAGGCCTGCAATGGGAACTAAAATCTTGACTCTGGCTTCTTATATAAGTAGGGTTCTATCAAGTTTTGTAACTGTACTCCAGAATATGAA